TTTCAGATTACTGTCATTTCTGAGAGCCCACATTCCTTCAGCCAGGGTCCATCATGACAACGTATGGCAATATGAATCACCTGTGTATAACATTGGGACCATACTCACCAGCACACAGTGTATGTACTTTAGCAGATCACAGGGCCTGCCCTCACGACCATGTCTCTTTTGAGACACCCTTTAAAAACGCGTGAGGGATGAAACATGACCTGTTTGTTAATTTGTCATTTTTTAAAATAGTTTTGCTGGTATCTAATGCTTAATACACTAGATTTTAGCCTAGGTTATACGAATAGCGGCTTGTGGAGATTGGTTTATAAGGCATTTATATCATACTCAATATCCTCAAGTTTTTACAGATTGGTGATTATTATGCTCATTCTGCTTCTTAATGTATTAGTTTAAAAACCCTAAATGTTTGCGATTTGTTCAAATACCATACTGCACTAAATTTATCAAGATAAAAAAAATATTGCACTAATAGGTTTTCATTTTTTTCAAAATATACTTCCCAATAAAATATCATCCATATTCTCGGTCAATAACCAAATTAATTATCATGATAGTTGGCTTTGCAATATGTTTCATTTATGAAAAGTGAAAAGTTCATTCTCTAAGAAATCTGTAAGAAATGCTTAGCCAAACATATAAGTCATACGCTTATATAAAAACAGTTCAATGTTTAAAAAACAAATGAAACTGACCTTGTATTCTGAGTACCGTTGAATTTACCTTCCTAACCTTTTTACTCCCTCCAATTTGACATTATTTCACACATGTTTTGTAATTGTTTTTCTTTATATTGTGTTTATCGCTGTCTTTTGTGATATCTTTAACTAATATATACTCAATAATATGAATTATGATGATTATTCAGGGGAACATTTTTTAAACAAGGCCACCATGGGTTTTTCCCTTGTTCTCCTTTTTCATTGGAAATTTGTGTATAAACTGAACACTCTATGCCTATGTATGTATACAAACTTGTATGTTTATTTGCTTTTTCTGTTGTTTTTTATGACAATAAAATTAATAAACGAACTGAACTGAACTGGAATTATAAGGATATGATATACATTTTAATAAAGCATAACGGGTTCAAAAGAAATGGAACTTACATCTGAAATGCCTGACATTTCTAGGGTTTCGTTGATTACTGTTATTAAGAAGCTAAATATTGACAAATATGCTATTTGAAGTTCTTAACTTAAAGTGCAATCCGTTTCGTCAGTTTTATAACGCCAGACTTGTACTGATTTTGATAGTGGATTTCAGACATTGCTTATTTGAAACTACATTTAGAATGAACAGAAATATTTTGAACATGGTCTTACTGTATTGCATTTGTCATCATACGTGGCATGTGAGGCATATGCATGTAGGTGTTTACTGTTTAGTATAGTGTGTCATCACAAATGAGTAAGTACATGTATAGATTTGGAAACTAAATTCATTGGTTTTTAAGCGACGTGCATGGTAACTTGTGTCATCTAGAACCTTGGAGGTTGTCATTATTGATAATACACTTGGAGTAATGCTGATACATTCCGTCCATTCGCCTTCAAACAATAATATGTGTATTATACAGAGATCTTGTCGATGCTATATATTTATTTTGATGAGAGCTGATTATCCACGATCACGCCCTCTGCAGTGATCATACAGAACAGTTGAACGTTCAAGGCGGTCTGTGGTTAAAATATACCCAATGCTTTAAAGGCCCACTGCACTACTTGTAACTACTTGCGCCCTCTATATAACAAACAATGCCTAATCGGTGACCATTGGTCCCCCATGATCCTCTTTTTCTTATGTTAACTGAGAGCTGAGTTGATGTGATAACCACCTGTCCAGTGGCATTGCAGTGCGGTCTAATCCCTTCTGTTATGGCAGATAAGCTTTAAACAACTGATAGCAAGTACGAAACAAAATCGTTTATAAAGTACACTTCTGCTACATCATGACCAGCTTTTAATCACCAGGTGGTCGTATACGAATTTCACTCATTGCTCTCTGTTTTAGTCTACATGTTAGGCTACCCGTTCCATTATTATTATTATTATTATTATTTATTCGGCAATTTACAAAAATATAACAATGTAAATATGAGTAAACAAACATTAAAAGAATGTCAATTATAAATGCACAATCTTCCTGGAGGTCCTCTGAGTGCATCAGTTGGCTGCCGGGGAAGAGGAAAGCAAACTAAATCACTGTAAAAGTAATGGTCCCTCTTCCTGACCAACTGGTGCACCCAGAAGACCTGTAAAGTATAGCATGAAGGTAAATATAACATTTCATGAACAAACCATCTAACAAAAACAAAGCACAAGGAGAAAATAAAATTAATATGTATGATGCCACTAGGTCATGACACGATACTGAACATAAACATGAGGAATTAATTCTGGCTCAAAACCTACTGCATAAAATGTCAACTTAAACTGAAACCCTGAAGTATAAAACTGAGAAAGAATACAATATGAGAACATGTATAGTAGTACATTGACAAGTATGTCTAAAATAATATGGGTTGACTGGTATATAGAAGTTAAGAAAACATGGTAAAGGAAGTAAATAGATACATGTACATAGGTTAATGGGCTTCAGGCGAATAAGGAAACTAGGAGAACGAATACATTAAAGAACAGTACTTCAAGTTATATTATATTATACAAACAATTTATAAAGAAGCTGCGTTGGAAATGTCCAGAAGATGTTTGAACAATGGAAGAAAAAAGAAAGAAAAAAGACTCTAGAGACATAACAATAATAAAATCAATATTATAGTTTCGGCACAAGAATGTCATAGAGAAGTAGATGAATGAATAATTACAAAACGTACCGTAATTATTACATTAGCCTCTCGTAAATTAAATTAAACAATGACTTCAAAAGAAAAAGTTAATCAAAGAAGATAAAATGTCTGCCTGCTGGTGTACATTACGTACAATTGACCTCAATTTCATAATAATAATAATAATATTCGGTTCATGTATAGCGCATACTACATTATAACGTCTCTATGTGCTTCCAAAGAGCTTTGGAAATTATTACCCCAACAAATGGAATATTTCCGCCACGACGGGATTAGTCTTGTATATACGAACACCTTTACTATAAAAGAATACAATATTACAATTTGTGATAGTTTATGCACCATTGTACATAACCTCCTTGTGGTCATAATTAAAGTACATTATAGTATAAAGGTATTAAATTATATAGTAAGATTTCAAGCATAATTACTCGATAAGCGGCTCTTTTTTTGTAGATACGCGACTGAAACCACAGACTGAGACCCAACTGCTACAGGGCATATATTCGGGGGTTCCCCATTATTATATTAATATAATGACCTTTGAAAGATGGCGTCGACCGAATAGCAACTGGTGTGTTTCATTGTGTGCATTACACGGGGTTGTACTTTAGACAGAGCAGAATTCAAACGTTTCTTCAATCTAAACAAGGTAAGCAGTGATACACTTGTATTATTGAGAATACGGGATGTATCAATTCGTCCCTATTTTCACCAAGTGACGGTAGTGAGGAAAATCGTAACGCAAAGTGAATGCAATTTTTTTTCACTACCGTCACTTCGTGAAAACAGCGACGAATTATCCAATGACTGTGTAGATTGGAATATATATACCACACATAATGGCAGAGTGTTGATCAAGGCTGTCATAAAGTTAAACACAGTTCTGTACAAGTTCACGTTTATGAATTGTGCATGCACTGATATCAACTGGATGTTGTCTGGGTTCTAAATATCGTATAAGTATATGCGGGGTAGCTGTAGTTGTCTGAGTTGGATAGTAATCTGGATTATATCCTTCCTATTGAGGTACGTGATTTGATTCATGTGCCGGTTGTCTTAGAGTAGGTCCATGGTCAAACAGGGAACACGTATTTGGCTGGTGATAGTTAATCGGGGAGAAGGTATATACGTTCACAATATCACCATGAAGCATGGCATGCCTGACATGTCTAACAGATAAAAAGTACAGTTCAATGGACCTTTGTCATAGAAATATACTAAATATACTCATATCAGTAGATCACCTCGCCACCCGAATATGAGGTGCCTCAATATGAAATGATAAGGTGGTGGTTGCCCGAGTTTTGGTGATTCCATAATTCTAAACGGCTGTAGCCCCCTAACCCCCCCCCCCCCCCCACCCCCCCCCCCCCCCTCATAGGCAAATGGGGGTTAATGTACAGGGGTAGATTAATTCGACGAGGGTAATTATCCAAGTTTTCCAAAGGGAGGTTGTCCCTAAGGTAATTTTCATTTTCAGGAGGTAGTTTGCTTGCAGCAGTATTGTATGTAGGCAGTCATTATGACTGTATTAAAGACCAAAGCCTTTGTTCCATGTAGATTGGCTCACTGAGTCACCTATTTAAAAAGGTAACCAAGTCGCTACACGCATGGAATTTTATGATCCATTATTATTCCCTCGAAGCACAGATTTCCTGTGATTTAACACGTAAACAAACGGTGGGTCTGTTGAACTCTGTACTTTATAAAGACCTTCATATTTGATACAGTGATTCTTCATTGTCTGGTAAATATTGCTTCCAGTATGGCAACGCTCCATGATAGATGTCGAAGTTTTTCAGAGAGCACTAAAACCTTATCTTTCAAAGGGGTTTTCATTATCTAAATTTTATTTTGTAAAGCGCATTGAAGAGGGCCTGATGTGCGCTGTAGAATAACAATAACAGCACGATTTACTCGAGAAATCAATAACAAAATTACTGGGTCAGACCTTGTGGCACTTTATAGTTTCAAATGAGTATGTTCTTTATTGGGTTTCGCTCATTGTTCTTGTTTGCTTTCACTTGTTTTTGTTTTCTATATAGTAAATCGTAACACATCTTAGGAATAATCATGGTTACGGTAGACAAGGATGCTCTGTTCGACGAACTCTCAAAAAACTTTCCAGCTGCAAACTATTCAGCCTTTTGCAACAAAATTGGCGTGGGCTACAATGAAGCTAAGAGCATGCTGACGAGATGTAAGGAGGATTACAACGTGGCTCTGAGAGACCTTCTAGCTCAATGGGATCAAAGGATGAAGAATGCGACCAGGGAACAACTAGAAGATGCCCTGGTCGGAGCAGACGTCGGTGGACTCTGTTCCATTGTGAGGAAACATTATGCAAAGGGTAAAATTCACTCGTTCATAATAGGATTTATTCTTTTTTTTTATATATGGCTTTTTGGAATAACCCAAACATTTTACCAGTGTCATCTTGTCATGATGCAAACTCGAAATAATCACAAAATTGTGATTCCAACATAAATATAAAGCTAGATATTTTTTGTTGGACATGCATGGTAATTGATACACCTTTAAGCTTTAAAATATATCTGCAGTATAAACAGCCCAATTCTCCAAGTAGTTTGATATTGTTAGCAGGGTGAGCAGACGTAATATAGGGTGATCCGGAACAAACTTCATTCACAAATTAAAGACTCGATCCTCTTAGAATTGTTAGTTTGACTTTGGTTGCAGTCCATAAAGAGCTATCGTAGAATCTGACCTGGCAACATGTCAAATTATATCGTACACTTTTACCTTTACCTATCGGAAATGTGTACGTGTATATTTTTCCTGTTCGGTTGTTGGATTAGAAACGCATATTTTATAGTACATAAAACCTGAAGGTCTGTAAAGTTCGCATATAAAGACATCATAATAATTAAAAATTATAAACTCATAAAGTAATACGTAGTCTACTTGGTCACTTTTCACAGCTTCCACTGAAGTGGTAGCCGCCCGGGTAGCCGCCACGGGAGTGGTATCCGGAGATGGCTCTGTTCACAATGCTGGAAATCGGGTTATTAACCAATCAGACAGATCGGACTCGGTACATACGGATCAAGGAGGTAACATACATAGTCAACAGTATCTTTCTAATCACTTTTGTTTCCATTTGTGTCATCGCTTCTGCTTCAGTATTTTTATTTATTTATTTATTTCAAATCTTTTGACAGGGTAACCCATTCACCAATAAGTAGTGGTCTTCCATGGAGCCCTGAATAAACATGAACATAGTTACATCAAAAAGCATAACATTTATACAGAACGGTTAAGATATAATACTCGTTTGCAAAATAAAATATTGATTAAGTCGCAATTATGGGAATAGGTCATGTTAATATTACAGAACATACACGGAGTGTATGTTCGGCTGAGCCATTTACAAATTACAACTTTGTTTTATCTTAAATGAATATTGACAGAGGAAGCCGTTCTCATCGAATTATCGAGCTTATTTCAAATATGGAAGAAACAATCGGGCTACACTTACAACAATCAGTGTGAAAACTAGGCACACGTAAACATCCACTGTCTATTTGCCTTTTATGATGCTCATGTACATCATTAGGATTGATTAAGCCTACCTGAAGGTAAGAAGGTGCTAAGTTATGAACACATTTATATATCATCATAACGCGACTCAACTCAAACCGTTTGTCTATAGTGTCATCCATTTAAGACTTGTGAACAAATCAGCCGACGGTGTGTCATAATTTGTTCAATATTATTATTGCGGCTCTCTTTTGATTTTTTTTTGCAGCTTAGTTGTATGAGAATGAAATCTGTTCGACCATACAAGAGAGCAGTAATCTAATCGTGGCAACACTAGACTGTTATAAAGTAACTTTATTCCTCTTCCTTTATCTAATTTGTATGCTTCTGTCTATTCTCACTTTTCTCTTTCTTCTTACTTTTCTCTTTCTTCATGCCAGTCTTGATTCTTCCATGGTAACTTATTCTGTCTGTGTAGGGTTGAAAATTACTAAAAGAAGGTAGAGATACATACAAAGGAGAAGATGAGAAGAGGCATAAGAACAAGAAAGATAATAAAAAAAGAGGAGGAGAAGAAGATGAAGAAGACTGGATGAAATGAATCAAAAGAAGAAGGCACCATGGAAAATGAAGAATGGGAAAAGTGAAAATAGAAATAAAGAAGAAGAAGCGAGAAAAGAAACATCAACAACAACATTAAAATTTCAAAAAAAAAATCAAATTAATATGTTAATTCCTTGCAGTTTCTCGGAATACGTCTGCCGCTTCGAAAGAGGATACTGGTGACATTGTTCAAAGAGGCGAACAGGTCAGGAACCAAGCTGAACAAGCACCTACAGTGAGAAAAAGAGGTAAAGTGCTCTTGTGGTCGTTAAAGTCATTAGGTTGTTTATTTAGAAATTTGTCTTTATAATTCACCAAGAGCATAAATCATTCAGAAATATCAAGAAAATAGATCACTGTCTAATGATAAATGATTAAAAACTAATTGCATTAGGAATCGCAAGATTTCTATTGCTATGAATAGCATTTGTACTGTATTTAAAGTGTTAAATGGTTGTTCCTATGAAAATCAGTAGTACAGTGTTCTCTTATCACAACATGCTTCATTTTTCCCCGTTTTTCCCCGGTTCTTTATTATTTTTATTTTGGAATTTTCTCACCAATCTTATAATTATTGTTGTGATCCAAACACACGATACAGTATCCAATAGTACGTCTGCTGCCGCAGTGGGAGACGATGAAGATGATACCATTGCCTATAATAGAGGAGGAGGAGACAACTCAAAGAGGGAGACACAGCAAGTGCCCGCAGTGAAACAAAGAGGTGACTACTTGTATTGCTTATATCACAATTTGTCATATTTCATGATATTATCAAACTACCGTCTAGGTGTTACGTATTTAGAACTCATGTTATGTAACCGTATTTTTGTCAAGGCGTCCAAAACATTTGGTCTGATCTGAATGTCGGTTTAATCACGGGATATAATTTGATTCAAATCGATTGTAATCGTGTAAAAGTATAAAATGCTTAGAGCGTGAGAATTATATATTTGTAGAGAGAAATATATAAACATCGGGAGAACAGTCGATGAGAGCAATAACGATGTAACATATTTCTAAAGAATAACAATGAAAGGCCTAATTGATGCATTTAATTTCTGATAATGGCTCTTTAAATCGTCACAAAAATTATTAAAGACTAAATACAAGGGAGAGAAAGAAAGAGAGAGAGAGAGAGAGAGAGAAGGGGATGAAAGAAAAGAGAGGAAACAGATGGGCTAGGGGAGAGAGGGATAGCGAGAGATGATGAAGGAGGAAGGAAAGAGAGAGAGAGAGAGAGAGAGGGGTCGGGGGAGATGGAGGCGACATAGCTTAAAGAGAATGAAATAATCCACCTCTAGTTCTCCTAAATATCTTCTAAATATTCCCTAACATTATTTTATTTCTTTTTTTCCATTGTAATTTTTTTTCATATAGGAGATGACCTTGACCCCACATCAAATATTAAAATGGAACGAATTACGGAGACGAAAGATGGAAATAGATCAACGACGACCTTCATCTGGACTGGAATTAGTAAAGAACAGATTATCTATCTAGGTATTTTTGCATGTGTTGGTGTCGGTCTGTTCTTCTTAAACCGTCGCAAGAATTAACGAAGATTCTACGCTGGATATTGAAATAAATCAGTGGACATACTAGTACTACAACATTATTTCCTTTGTTGCTGCTACTATTCTACTACTATTACAACGTGAATTTACAGGGCTTGGTATCCATAATTTTCATAGTTAATAATTCGGTTGTATATACACTTTATTCTGTACCACACATAGCTTATCATGTAATTTTAAATTTATTATGCTATAGTCGTGCCTTTAATATTCCTTGGCAGTAGATTTTTTCTTAATTTAAACAAATCTTTATTCAGATACAAAATCATGGATGACATCTTACATAATTATTAACAACAAGCAAATCATCACCTGTTTCAATATTATCAAATTATATATTTATTATAAATGCATTTTCTGTAAATCATTAATTATCTTCATCCACGTAGTAGTATTCACATCTGTTTTCTTAGTTTAATTTTTCAAACTTCTAGTCTGTATTTTAACATAAACAAGAAATATTTCCCTTTTATTTTCGCTGCTACATTTTTATTAAATTTATTCACAACACACGCTTTATAAGTTGCAAATAAAGCATAATCGAGTAGTAAATTCATATGTGTAACATTTTCATTTGCGTCATGAAAACCATATACAACAGAAATGAGTGAAAATCTAAACATTTTACAGGAGTTACATAATAATATTTCAATAATATTCCAAAATAGATAAATCTTTCGCATTAAAAAACTACAGGCGTTATGGTACAAGTTTTAGTTACAGTAATAACAAAAATCGTTTTCTTTGAGTTTCCATTTGGAAAAATTAACAGGTGTTGGCAAAATATTATACATACATTTGAAGTTGAATTGAATCAAGTAATTATCACGAACATATTTCAATTTAAAAAACCACAAAGGACCCTTCTTAATATAGAAATTTGCCTGCAAAGTTTTATTCTATAAATCTACCGCCCTATGTATAAGTTCCGTGTAGATTTGTTTTACAGTAACACAATGTATTGATTACTCAAAACTGTTCAAGTTCAAATTAGAAAATATAATTAATTTACGTTTGTAACCATTAAAATTATAAAAACTTTTTTACCATATTTTATGATTTGCCTCCATCTTTGTTTTATATAGCGATTCGTATTTGGGCATATTAACTCAACCATCTACCATCATAATAAATAAGTTTATCTTGTAATTCATCGACTGTGAAACATATATTTCCTATTACTATATCCCCTAAAAATGATATACCTGACTTTATCCATCTTTTATATAACGATACAATTTCCCTTAAATTTGATATCACAATGTACTATACTAAGTCGAGCGTACTCGCACTGATTTGACAAGCTTTATCCATTCAGTTCTATTCTCCATGATCTTTGGGAGCTCCTGCCTTGGTAGACAGGTGTCGTTTTCTAACTGGTCAATGTAAGTCATTGCTGGGCGCCCTCTGGTGCGTTTGCCCCTTGAGGGCTCCCAGAAGAGCATTTGTGAAATGATTTCACTCTTGCTCCTCCAGCAGTGCCCACTGAAACGGAGGCGGCGGTCTCTCAGTCTGGCTGAGATCGGTGTAATGTCCCTATACAATTCTATATTGGTCATATGGTCCCTCCAGTTAACATTTAGTGCTGCTCTCAAGAGTCTTGTATATCAACCATCCAGTTGTTTTTCCAGGCTAATTGTCAAAGTCCAGGCTTCTGATCCATAGAGCAGTACAGTTTCCACTGTAGCCCTAAAGAAGCGGACTTTCAGTTTTCTACCGAGGTTTGATTTCCAGATGGCTGTCAGCTTGTTTAAAGCAGTCCAGGCTTTTGCCTTTCGGATATTCAGATCTTGTTTTGACTGATCAACCCACGAGCCAAGGTACTGAAAGTTTTGGACCTGCTTCAACTTTGTCCTGTCAGCAGTACAAATCTCGCCTTCACGAAGGTTGTACAACATGAATTCTGTCTTAGTACTGTTTATTTGTAGACCAACTTGGCTTGCTGCAGACTCTACTTGTTCTAGGAGCTCCTGTGCCTTTTCCAGGGGCGCTTACCGGAAGGGAAAAAGACATTTCTTAGAAAAGAAAAGAAGAAGGTGTCCAAGTAAAAAAGGGTAGTTATCAGAGGTAAAAATGGGGCAATTCTCGCACCTGAAAAGGTGTAACCAATTCATTTCATTCATAACACTTCCATAAGTTGGTCGTACATTTTTTACATAATATACTTGCTAAACTGTAAACCACGTATAAAATAAATCACAATAAAATCAGGTATTTTACCTCTATAAGAAGTCAAAGATTTTGGTAAACACTTACAATTCATAATGATATTAATCTCTCCAATTGTTTTCATGGAGTTCTTCAGATCTCTGGGAAACTAAACAACCATTTTAATCTTAACGACATAAATGTGAACACATGTCAACCATATTCATGCCTCCATTTTGAAGATTATTAATCTAGTTTCTTAATCATTATAATTGTTAAAACTTACTTATACACAATACCATCATTATCTATACTTGATGGTTAAGTGTAAAATAATAATAATAATTTTCTAATAACTGACCTTCTGTATAGATAACAAGACCACTGTAAACTAATTCTATCGTTCTATCGTATCTCGTTTATGTAATCCACTTCAAATGCAAGGAAAATGGGGCGCTTACCGGAAGGGAAAAGATACTTCTTAGAAAAGAAAAGAAGAAGGTGTCAAAGTAAAAAGGGTAGTTATCAGAGGTAAAAATGGGGCGATTCTCGCACCTGAAAAGGGGCACTCGCAAGAGATGAAAAAGGGTACTTTTGAGAATGGAAAAGTGTAATTTGTCGAAAGTAAATGGCACCTGTCAGATTGTAATAGGGGATTTATCGGAGATGTAAAGGGGCATTTTTGAAAATGGGAATGATGGGCTTTTATATTAAATAAATTTGGCACTTTCCAGAAGAAAAAAAGGCCACTTATCAGAGGTGGAACGGGGTGTTTATGAAAAAAGGGAAGAGGCTAATTTAAAAAATGATTATTATCATTATTATCATCAGAGATTAAAAGTTAGCACTTATCATAAGGGGAAGAGTTTAGTTATTACAAAGAAAAAGGGGCACTTGTCAAAATACGGGCATCTTTCAGATTTGAATAAGAACAATTAACAAAGTTGAGGGGGGCACTTATCAGAGGTGAAAAGTAGCACTTCTCGTACCTGAAAAAGGGCACTTATGAGAATGAAGAAGAGACACTCATTGTATAGGAAAAGAGACATTTGTCGAAAGAAAATGGGCACCTATCATATTTTGATAGGGGAATTTGTCAGAGATGAATAGGGGCATTTATGAGAAGGGAGGAAGGGCACTTATTAAAAAAAGATCGGGGCACTCATCACAAGTAAAATGGGCCTGTTCGTGTCAAACTAAAAAGGACACATATCAGAGGTGAAAAGTGGTACTTAAAAGAAGGGGAAGGGGCACTTCTTACCAAGGAAAAGGGGCTCTTGTCAAAGTAAAATGGGCATTTTTCTACGGTAAACAAGGGGAACTTTTGGGGTTATTGAAACATTTCATTTTTTTTAATGCCCGACTTTTGCTGATTTAGTGGTTATTTGGAGTGGATTTCAAGCATTACCTTTTTGAAACTACATTTAAAATGTAAAAGTAATAGTTTGGACATGGTCTTACTGTATTTAATCACATTGTCATTCTATGCCATGCGAGGCATGACACATTCAAACATAATTCAAGCAATAACATATGTATTATACAGAGATCTTGTCGATACCAGATTTTCTTTTGTTTTGTGCTTGCCCAACAAAGCAGTAGTCGCCATGTTGTGTCCAACTCAAACCGGGTTGGCCAAACTCTCCTAATCAATGGCACTCGTCGATGCTATATGAGACACTTTATTCCTTTACGAATTTTATTTTTGATGTATAATGCCTTTATTTTACCCCATGTTATGTATTGTATTATTGTCTGGGCTAATCCTTATCCTTCAAAATTAATTAAATTACACCGTCTTCAAAAAAAGGCATTACGCATCAAGTACTCATTGCTCAAATGCAGATTATCTGGCCCCATCACAACCAATTTTTTACAAATTTAAAACGTTGAACGTTTTTGATATTAATAGATTAAAAATGGGTATACTTATGCATCGTTACTTTTTAGATACATTACCGGAATACTTGATGAATATGTTTTCTTTAAATGTCCATGTCCATAATTATAATACTAGACACAACCAGTTATACCATCAATCAAAGGTCACATCTCACTCTCTTTTTAAGTCTATTCGGTTCGTTGGTCCCATTATATGGAATACATTATCCCCCTTAATACGTAATACTCAATTTGGAAATTCTTTTAAAAATAAGTACAAGCGCTATTTACTGTCTCAGTATGTTTAAGTTAAATGTAATTTAGTATGTAACCGTCAGCTACCTGAAATTTATATAAATGTTTTTTTATTCTTTGTAATGGGTGTATCAACTTGTCAAGCCACATAGGCTTTTACTGATACGCCCTATTTCATTTTACAACTATTTGTATTTAAATGTTATTACTCTGTTTCACATATTTAAGTAAATTTTATATGTACATTGTAAATGTTTATAACCTGTTTTTTTAGTGTTTTTTTTTTTACTGAATTTGAAATAAAATATATCAATCAATCAATCAATCAAATTTAATGTGAGCGCCCTCTGTGGTGAATTATGCCTATTCGGGGTCGGGCATTCCCCTTTTTTTAATTGACCTTAACCTCCCACAATCATGATTATTTAATATAATGGTCTTTGTAAGATAGCGTCAACGGAATAGCAACTAGTGTGTTAGATTGTGTGCATCAGAAGGGGTTGTAATCTCAACAGAGCGGAATCCAGTTCATTTCTTCTATCTAAATAAGGTAAAGCGGTGATACATTTATGTCTTTGAGAATAACGGAAATAAATTATACCCTCATCTATTTCTATTTCTCAATGTGTCGATTGGAATAGTTATACCACACATAATGACAGATTGTTGATATCAGGGCTGAGATAAACACTGATATTCTGTACAAGTTCACGTATATGAATTATGCACGCACTAATAATGTAAATGTCCTGTGAGTGGAGTAGCTGTAGTTGTCTGAGTTGGGTAGTAATCAGGATAATACTTATCCCGCCCATTGAGGTCATTTGATTCATCTGCCGGTTGTCTTAAAGTGCTACATATTTTTGGTGGTAGCTAATAAGGGAGAGGGCATTAATGGTGGCCTGGCATGCCTGACATCTCTAAGAGAGAATAAATAAAAGAACAGTGAAATGTAACTGTAACTTTATCATAATACTAAACACAATATATTATGAATAAATTACTTCGCTACCCGAACATGAGGTGTCTGAATATAAATATGATATTATGAGGGGGTGGTAATCAAACACTGGAACTGTTTTGTATAAAGACGTTCAAAGTTCAAGTGATTCTTCACTGTCTGCTCATTATTCCCGATAATATCGCAACGCTCCATTACAGGTGTAGACATTTTTTTTAAAGAGCACTAAAAATGTATCTTTCTTATAATTATATTATAAAGCGCATTGAGAGGGCCTGATATACATTATAGAATAAAAATATAGCACGATTTACTCAAGAAATCAAAAACAAAATTACTGAGTTAGAACCTGTGGCACTTCATAGTTTAAAGGGATAGTTGAGTTCTTGATTCAGACCGCTCATGCCTTTTTATTGCTCGTATTCTTATTAACGACATTTCTAGTGCTCTTTTAGGACCTAAAATTGCTATGAAGGTGATTTTAGACTTAAAAATGTGTGAAATTTAACCAAAACTATCATACCAATTCAGCTCCACTTTCAAAAAAATATGGTGACCGTTAATTAACTAATTAATAAAGAAAATACACGGTCCGGTTGGTTGTGCGTACTATAACCAACACGAAAAAGCCAACAAAAAGCCAACATCGGCAAAACGTATATTAGGCACTATTTCAATTTTTTTTACAACGGCTGGTTCAAATTATCGAATATTTGTGGGGCGACACAAATATTAG